TTGGCCTTAAGCATTTATTAAAAGGTATGTAAAAGGAGTTATAAATTGCAATATTTAAAAAATAAATTAAGCCTTAAAAGGGCCCAACTTTAAATTTATTTTTTAAGTATATGCCTTATTATATAAAAGGGTTAAGTATAATATAGGCCCAGCATAAGCATGCATTATAGCTTGAGCAATAGCCTAAGCTTATTACATTTTTATACTTAAATTATTAAGATTTTAACGTTATTAGCCTTTGCTTATATATTATCATTATACCTTATAATAGCTATTATAGCTAATAATAATTTATAATAATCCAGCACTCTTACCTTATTTAATATTTCAACTACTTACTCCTTTTTTATTTATTTATTCGCATTAATTAATACTAATTACTATAAATGAATAAATATATAAATATTATTTAAAATATACTTAAAGATATATAAATATTATTTAAAAGATATTAAATATACTTAACTTTAAACTTAACTTATTATTTTTCTTAAAGTTAAACCTAAAAGAGGAGAACTTTTTAAACTAAAGAGCAGTATAAAATCACGGCTTTTAGTTTGCCGGCCTTAATAAATATATTATAGGCATTAAAGAATAATTAAATAAAAGTACAGCCCTTATAAAATAAAAAAAGCTTAATAACTAAGTCTTTATTATGCTTTTAAGCTTAATATATTTAAACCTTATAATATTTATTACATTATATAGAAAATCTTTTAATGCTTAAAAAAATACTAATTAATTAATTTAACTATAATATTAGCAACTTAACTATTTATTTCTTTTATTAATTAATAAACTTATAATATAAAAATAGCTTTAACTTATAAAGTTATTTAAATGCCTTTTAAAATCTTTAAATAAAACTTTATATTAAAACCTTAATATTAAAATAATTAATTAAAAAGTTAATAAAGTTACTTTTTAAAAGCAATAAAGTTAAAGGCTTTTTTTTCTTAATAACGTTATTAAATATTATAAATAATATTATTAATAACTTAAATAGCTAAAACCTTATAATATTTTTTAAAATTAAACTTAAAATAATAAATATTATTTTTTATATAAAAATTAAATAATTTAAAGCTTATTTTATCTTTACTTAAAAAAAGTTAATATTAAAAGGTATAAAAAAAGCTATAAAATTTGCATTAATAAGTATTAACTTTATATTAAATAATAAAGAATATATTTAATGCTATGCATAAAACTTTATATTTATTAATTATTTATATATTAATTATGCAAAGCTTATTAAATATAAAGTTAATTAAGAATAAAAAAAGGGTAAGAAATAAGCTGCTATAAATTAAGCTATAAATAAAGAAATTATTAGAATTTTTAATAATAATAAGGAAGATATAATAGTATTATATGTTAATATTTTAATATATATAATAAAGCTGCTAATAATTGCAAATACTTTAATATTATAAATTTTTAATTTTAATGCTTTAAAACATATAATAAGATATATAAAAGACTTTAGTTCCTTATAATTATATTTAAATATAATTATTATTATAAATAGTAATTAACTTATTATAAAAGGTATTAGCTTTATAAAAATTTTCTTATAATTATTAAATAAATTAATTATTAAAAGCATCTTTATTAATATTTTATATAATTATATATTAAGAAATATTTATTTATTTAGCTAAATTATAATTTAAAAAAGGTTTTAATTAAATATATAGGGAAATAATATCTTTTTATTATTAAAAGATAATGAATTTTATAAGATATTATAAATAAAGTTTTAATATGGAAATTTTAAAATTTAAACGGTAGAAAATAACTTTATAATATTTATAATATATAGTAAATTTTATAAAGCTTTTAGCTATAATAATTTATTAAAATTAATTACTTAATGTTTATATAAAAATAAAGACATTATATTAAATAAACTAATAGATTTTTATTGCGAATTATATTAACTTATAAAGTTTATTAAAAAACGCTTATGTTTATTATTAAAATAATAATTTATATAGTTATTTAAATATATTTAATTTAATTTATTAAGCAAATTTTTAATAGAATTATTAAAAGGTTTTTAATACTTTATTTTATTTATTAATAATTATATTTAATTTTATTAAGTTTATTTTATTGCTTAAAAGAATAATGTTTTAAATATTATTAAGGGATTTTTAAATATAGTTAAAACTTAATTTAATATAAAAGTTAAGATATTTAGTTTAAATAATAAAAATAAATATATAAATAAGATAATTATTATAATATTTTAAAGATATAAAATTATTTATAAGAAATTACCCCCTTATTATTATAAGTTAAATAGTATATTTAAAAGGTTTATATATATTATTATTATTAATGCTTATATAATAATTTATAATAAAGATTACTTATTTTTATAATTTAAAGCAATTTCCTATATAATATATTTATAGAATTAAAAACTATATTTAGCCTTATTATATTAAATAATATTATTTAAGGTACTTTATAAATAAAAGCCTAATATTAAATATTTTTAATTATACTTTCGCCTTGTATACCTTTATGTTTTTATTAAGGCTTGTAAATTAAGAATGAAATTATTAAATAAAGTTAAAAAGATATACTTTATAAGATTTAAGGCTAAAAGCAAAATTATCTTTTATTTATTTATATTATTTTAAAAAGTTATTATAATTGTAATATTAAGCTATATTACTTAGTTTAATTTAGCAATAAAGATTGCATAAATAATTAGCTAATTAAATAAAAACATGCTATTTAAGATAAAGGTGTTATTAACGTTTTAGCTAATAAAACTTGCTAATAATGCGGAATTTATAAATAAACTTATAAATAAATTACTTAAACCTGCAAGACTTATTAATAAACTACTTAAATTCGCGGAACTTATATAGTTATATAGTTCTTAAGGATGATGAATTTAGCCTTTGCGAAAAGCAAAAGAAAATGTAAACGTTATTATAGAATGTTTTAAAGATTCTGCTTAATTAATACTAATTGGTGCTAATTATCTTAATTAAATCTTTACTTAAGCATTGCTTGCTAGCATAATAAATGCTAACGATATCCTTAATATATATGCATAAGCTATAAAGAGTAGTAAAAGGGACGCTTAACGATAAGCTATTAAAAGAAAACTTAAATTACTCTTAAATATAAGTATATAGGTTAAAGTACCTGCTATTATAAATTAATATATTATTAATCCTTGCTAAGTATATATAAAGAAATTTAACGCTTTTAATAAGCTTATTTATTATAAAGCTTAACTTATTACTTATGAATATATATAAATTCATAACATGAATTATAATAATACTTATAGCTTTATAATGCATTATAATAATCTAAAATTAATTATTATTATTACCGCTATAATAAGCTAGTAGCTTTAATAATTTAATATTAAAATAGCATACCTATATAGCTATTTAAAATATAACGTTTATATATAATTATTATAAGGGTATTAAATATTATTTAATAATTAGTAAATTATTTTAAAACTTTTTAATGCCTTATATAAACTTAAATAATTAAGCTATAAATAATTTAATACTTTTAAAAAGGAATTAATTAAATATTTAATGGAAATAATATTTAACCCTTGCGTTTTTATTAAAAATTAAATTATTATCGCTATTTATATTAATAATATTCTTATTATTAAGAATCCCTTTTAAGTTAATAAATTTTGCATTAAGCTTATGCAATATTTTAAATGCAAGGATCTTAATTTTTATAAATACTTGCTTAAATTAAAAATTATATAAATTAATAATAAGATTTGCATTTCTTAAAAGGGATATATTTAATAAATTTTAAAACATTTTAATATATTTAATTATAATTAAAGATAAACTCCTATAAATTTAAATTTATTTTCATAATAAAAGGAACTTAATAATATTGCAATAAATATAATAATATATTAATTACTTACTAAATCCATTAATTTTCTTATTATTAAAATAAAGCTTAATCTTACATTTCCATATGCAATGCTCTTAATATTTAATATAAAGCTTATAATTTATTATTTAAATATTATAAAGAAAATGCTTTAATATATTTAATATATATTAAATTATGCCTTATAATGTTTAAAATAAATATTATTATTTTAATTTATTATACTTAATATATACATTAACGCTTTTTATAATATTAATTTAAATAATTTAAAAGCATTTAATAAATATATGCAACTCTTTAATAGCAGCTTAATCGCTTAGTTATTAAAGCGCTAATTTATTATTACAAAATTTATTTATAAGGTAAAATATATAGCATATTTATTAATATTATTATATTTTTATTAAATAATTTAAGCATTAAAAGATTTAAACATTAAGTATATAAAATATTTACTTATTTTATATATTAATAATTAGCTAATATTAAACCTTATTTAAAATTATAAAGTTAACGTTTAATTAAAATATATTGCTATTTATTATTACTTTATTTATAAAGGAATTAAAAAAATATATAATGTTTATTACATTATATTTAAAGATAATCTTGCTAATATTTACATAAAAGCGTTACCTCGCCCTATTCTTAAAGAAACTTATATAAAATTAAGATTAAGATAAATATAAAATTTATATTATTAAAAAGGCATTTAAATAGTTAATTAAAAATAATATAAGTAAAATATATAAATATTAAATAATATTTATATAATAATCTTAATATAAATTATAATGAAATATTTAAATTATATTTTTAGCTATTAAAACGGAATATCTCTTATTATTATTAAAATGATAATATTTACGATAAGGGGTGTATTGAAAGGTATGAGGGTTATATGCCTATACGCTAGCGTTAGCCTATAAATAGGCTCCTTTTAAGCGTTTAATAGCGGGGAGATTTCTCTCCTCAAAACACAACAATTAACTATCGTTTGCTTCATTGCTTCATCAAGTCCACCACCACTGCCGTATCAAGATCGATAAAGGCTTCAGCTAAGGTTTGAGATAGTTACTGTTCCAAGAACTTCAAACTTGTTCATTCCCATCCCTCCTCACTGCAGCATCTTCAACTACATCCTCATCATATTCGTAGTCGCCGTCTTTGATACCAGTCATTTTCGCAACCACCTCGGCCGCGAAGCAATCCCCAGAAACGTTGACAGCAGTCCTGAAACGGTCCAAAAACCAGTCAATAGCCACGACGACGGCATACATCCCAGTGATGGGAATGTTCACAGCCTCACAGATCATCACCGTGAGCACGAGTGAAGAACTCGGAATTGGCGACGCCCCGATCGTTGCCAGCGTAGAGAGCAACATTATTATCACATACTGCGCTGCGTCAAGGGACATTCCCTGAGTAGCAGCCATGAACGTCACCACAACAGGGAAATAGATGGCGGTTCTATGCTAGATAAGTTGGTGGAACATAAGGTTGTTCAAAGGGAAACTCACCCATCCATGTTGACAAGGCATCCAACTGGTACTGCGAACTTGGTCACAGTAACCGGAACCCCCTGCGCCATCGTCGTCCGCATGGTGACGGGCAGCGTAGCAGCCGAGCTCGCAGAACCCCAAGCGGTCATCCAAGCTGGCGAGATACGCAGGAAGAAGGTGTAAGGCTTTTCCCTCACCAACACCGCAAAAATGATTGCCAGCGTGAAAAACATGTGGATAAACATGCCCGACAGTGCGGCCCCAATCAACACTCCAAGGTTCTGCCCAATCTCCGAGATGTCCAGCTGGAACATGTTGGGGAGGATGAGGAAGAAGACACCGATCGGGGCGAGCTTGATGAGAAATATGATGATCTTGATAACCATCTCTTCAATCTCCTTGACAACCCTGAGGATAGGGCTGTCGCGATTGAGGAGGTAGCCCACGATGATACTAACCACCATCACGCTCAGCAAGGTGTCTTCGGCCAAGGCATTGAAGATGTTCTGTGGTATCAATGTCTCGAACAAGAGGACCACAGCCTCGTGAGGCTGGACCTTTTCCCCATCTGGGTCACTCTCTTCTCTGTCTTCGCCTTGAACTGGTACCATGAGGCGCGACCAGCCGAGAGAAACAGTTAAGATGGAAAAAACAATAGCAATAATGGTAGTGACGATATAGTAACCCAGTGTCCACTTCGCAATGAGAGCGCCATTGCCGCTGCCCAGGTCACGGAGTGACTGAATTGCGAGGATGAGGGAGGTGATGATCAGAGGCAGGACTGCACGGCGTTTATCAGCTCATGTGACAGAAACGGTCTTGTTGCCTAGATGGATTTTGACTTACCAGTCGCCCTCAACGCTCGAAGCCAGGTCGTCCCTGGGATGCCGAGAATCTCAGTGCAAGCCTCGGGCACAGAGTCGACGGTGCTGGTCACAGCGAGGCCGATGGCGATGGCGACCAACGCAGAGATGACAATTTGAGCGGCTGATCCAGGCTCTTTGATCGGGTGCCACCATGGTTTCTTGGGCTCGACTATTGGGGTTGCTGAGACATCTTGGATGTCGACTGAACGTGATGAGTCTGTACGCCAGGTCTCACGCGTTTCTCCAGTCTCGATTTCTTTGCCCATCTCTTGGATGCGAGCTGTTGAATTGCGTGTTCTAGCAGAACGCAACGAGACCAGCTAAAAGGAATCAAGCGGGGACAAGAGAATTCATATCAACTATGAACTCATGATATGCTCGGGTCCAGGTCTTATCTGAACAAAGTTGGCGGCCCTGTGCAACACCGGTGTTAACCGATATCCCCTCTCACAATCAGAATTCCGGTAGGAAGCTAGGCGCCAACCGTCGTAGACATCGATAAGAAGCATCGCCTGAAACTGAGTGGATGAAAGACGAGCCAAGTGAAGCCAACGGCCCGCCTCAAGCTTGAGGATGTTTCCCAAGGCTGGGCGAGATATCGCCACCAATCTCAGCTTCCAAATTGAGCCCTGCCAGAGCCCATCGCCAAGTGGGTTCTACCACTCGTACCCTCCAACTCCGTCCTTGGCCTCGTTCCCAGCGGTCTAGTCTTACCATATCCTACCAGTTAAAATGGCAGTGGCCGTTCTTTCTTTCCCTCCCGGCACGTTGTTTTCACTGTGGTGTGTTTGCCAAGACCTGTCTCCGAGTACACTCGGGATGAACGACTTCTCCACCTCCAAGACAACCGCCCAGGCTGACCACAGCGCTTGGGTCTGGGCTGTCTGGCACCACAATGGCGGCCAAGGCTTGGACTTTCCAAAGCCTGTCACCCATGTCGAATTATGATGTCCAAAATAGACTTTATCATCAACCTTCATGCGCAATAGGGTTCCGTTTGAATATGAGGATAGATACGTTTGGAATTCCTCGCATTGGCTCCTTCTTCAATACTCCTATCTGATTGTAGAGATACTGGGGGACGCAGCCAACACTCTCGTTGCTCAGTGTGAAGATTTGTGGGAGGACTAGAAGTGAGGATACACTGCTCCGCCTGATTATGCCTGTAACTATAGGCATTTGCTTTTCCGTCCTTGCCGTCCTTGCCGTCCTTGCCGTTCAACCGGTACCACCTCCGATAACTGCACATGCGACCTAGTATTACGACCCTGCTTTCCAATCGCAGACCAATCCTGAGGCTGAAGTGCATTCCATTTAGAATGATCGAAATCAATTTGTACGATGTTCTTATGGGTAAGCCAATACATGGCGTGATGCCTTTACATTGTTTATCATGATCCATTAAACAGGAGGCCGGATCGTTCAACCTTGTCTCGCAGGATGTTGTCACATTAGCTAAGCCGTCCGCGTATTTCCTCAGGGGCCAACATTTATTTTGGGGCCTTTCTCAGAGTCAGGCCATATTCGTCGCCAGGCTACATGCTCTGATAGTAGTATATTGTTGCTGCGGCAAAGCAAGTGTTCTGTACCACCAAACGTTCACGCTATGGATAAGTCGTCTGTCACACACATCAACTAGGAGCCTAACACATGATCTCATTCAGCTAACTATAAGAATAGGCTGTGCCACTTCCAGGAGAGCGATCGTACTACTCGGCCTTGCCTTATCACTTCTTTGCCCATTTTTACTCTTATAGGCAGATCGCCTTATCAGGACAATATGTCTCAATCGCTGTTATCCTTCTGCTCTATGTTGCCCTTTATGGAGCTGATAAGTGTTTCTGTTGGATGCTAGCACCTACTTGGACTCTTTGAGGTATTGTACATAATGTTGCTGCCCTGTATAAAAGCCATGTCTTTCACGATCATAGTTTCTAAGAAAAGCAACGAGACCTAACCATTGGGCTAGCTGGTATCAGTGCAGCACATATTCTCATGTCGAGACCGGAAAAGGTCGTACCAGAGGACGAAATACTGAGATGTTCTAAGGAGAAAGGCAGCAGAGACATTCTGGTTCCACTTCAACTGCGATTGCCTGATCAACAAAGAGATGTTTGCTGACATCATGCTCACTATGTCTGCACCTTTCTTGAATCTCCCTGCCTGAGGCCCACAGCATTGGAACTTCGAATAGCGGCTCTGCAGCTAAGGTCCTTCCTGACTTGCTCTGCACAAGTAGCACACAAATAAATATTTTACCATTTCTCTACTCTATCGATTGATGATCATTGACCTCGTTCATCGCCACCTTTCGATTCTGAAGCCAGACATCTACTTTTTTTCTGGACCAAACCGACCTGAGCTGAATCGAAATGGCCACCCTCGATTCCCTCAAGCGAGCCCTCAGGCAGGCTGCCGAGGAAGCAGCACTGCCATCATCGAAGCCACTCTTGTCAGATTCCCAGTACAGCGCAGGTCTTGACATCCTAAAGCAGGGCGCGGGATGGCTTATCTACGAAGACTTCATCATTCCTTATTCATCCCGGCTTTTAGGCCCTCTTTTCGACTCTCACCCTGCAGTGTCAGTTCTGGAAATCGGACCAGGCGCAACGAGCCTGCTCAGTTACCTCCCACGCCATCTGAGACACAAGGTCAAGAAGTACAAGGCATTTGAGCCCAACAGCCTCCTTGCTGCAGGATTGGAAGAATCCCTTGGCCAAAAACCAGAGGGGGAGGCTACTTTTCCATATCTGAAGAGCCCGCCCGACATTTGTCGACAGCAATTCGATGCGGGTGACAAGAAGGGAAGCGATACTACCAGTACCAACGACTCCTCGCTTCACAACGATGAGAAGTACGACGCGATCATTTTCTGCCACAGCATGTACGGCATGAAACCCAAACACATGTTCATCGAACGGGCGCTGAACATGCTTACCGGCTCGCCGGACCATCCAGATAAAGGAGGGTTGATTTTGGTTTTCCATCGCGACAACGGGGCCCTTCACCTCGGGGACCTGGTGTGCTACCAAACGGCATCCTTCCCGACCGGAGTCGTCAGCGTGACAGACGACGACGAAGAACTGGACTCGTTCGCTTCTTTCGTGACGGGGTTTTCCATGCAGGGAGAGACGGACGCGAGCAACACGATTCGCGCTGAATGGCGCAAAGTATGTCGCAACTCAGGCCGTCGCGACGAAGCCCAGCCAGGAACTCTTGTTCAGCTCCCCAGAATTAATGGTGGCATTCACACTTTGTTCGAACCGGTTGCGGGAACTGACGGACATGGTTCCTCTGGCGGAAGGCCACAGAACAGTCAAGAACCGCGAGGCACTCCTGCACCATCCCCCTCCCGGTAGTCCAGCCAAAAGAGATCAAAGACGTACAGTTCGCTGTCCGGTGGGCTTTGGAATGCGAATTGAACCTGACTGTCGTCGGTGGTGGTCACAGCGGCCACTGTCTCTGGCCGAACGTCGTCTCGGTCGACATGAGCGCCTTCAATCAGATACACATTGTCAAGGGAGACCAAGACGGAAAGAATCCAACATTCGGCCCCTTGGTTGTTGCCGAGACCGGTTGTAAAACAGGAGACATCGTCCGCAAAACCATGGCGGAAGGCTTGACGGTGCCTTTGGGGGCCCGCCCGAGCGTGGGTGCTGGGATGTGGCTACAGGGCGGAATTGGACATCTTGCCAGGATGTACGGGCTCTCATGCGACGCCATTGTAGGCGCCGTGATGGTAAGCGTCAAGGACTACAGCCAGATCATCTGCGTCGGCCATGTACCGAGCCAACACAAGCCCCCTGGAGCCATTAAACCGGAGAACGACGCGGAACTTCTACGGGCAATCAAGGGCGCCGGAACCAACTTTGGAATCGTTATCAGCGTGATATTTCAGGCTTACGTGGCACCCACCTACCGTGCCCGGAATTGGCTCGTCAAGTTCAGTGACAGTCTCAAAGGACAGAGAAAGCTCAGCGAATTTGACAGTCTCATTGCCGAGGAGCTCCCCCGGAACATTTCTGCGGATGCATATTTGTACTGGGAGGACGGCAAGCTGCGTCTGGGAGTGACAATGTTCGAGTCTCTAACGGGAGAAACTACATCAAGCTTCGAACAAGCCTCAGCGAAGTTAGACTTCTTTTGGGGTCCTGGCGACGATCTCAAGGCCACGAACGCTGTCGATCTGTTCGACACGGAGATGTACGTGTCTAGAATGCACGGCGGACATGGCGGCGGCAAGACCTTATCGTTCAAGCGGTGTGTATTCCTGAAACACATCGGAGAGGCAGAGGTCGCAGGCCACCTGCTGGCAGCTATCGAGAACCGCCCATCTCCACTCTGTTACCTCCATCTATTGCAAGGAGGCGGAGCAATCTGTGATGTCGCCCCTGACGCTACCGCTTTCGGCTGTCGAGACTGGGACTTCGCATGCGTAATAACCGGCGTATGGCCCCGCGATGAAGACGACACCGAAATCGCACAGTATGCCACACAATGGGTTTACGACGTCGCCGGAAACTTATTGGCCTTGAGCGGATGTCGTGGTGTTTATGGAGCGGATCTTGGACCGGACCCCAGAGACTCCGTGTTGGCGACCAAGGCCTTTGGACCAATTCGACGAGACCTAGCCTTTCTCAAACGCACCATGGACCCGCAAGAAGTGCTGGAATACGCCTGCCCGCTGCCGGAGGTTTCACTAAGACAAAAGATCATCATCCTTGTCACCGGCGAGAGCTGCGCGGGAAAGGACTTCTGTGCCGACGTCTGGGTCTCGGTGCTCACCAGACGTAAAATCACTTGTCACGAGCAACTTACCGCACGTGTAGTGAGCATCAGCAGTGCGACCAAGCGAGAATACGCAGCAGCTAAGGGTGCTGATCTGGGTCGCCTCCTATGGGACCGTGCTTATAAGGAGCAACAACGGCCAGACCTGACGGCGTTTTTCAAGAGCCAGGAGCGGGAGCGACCTGATCTTCCCAAGGAGCAGTTCTTGAATGTGGTACGCATCGCCGGGGACGTGGACGTGCTTCTCATCACCGGAATGAGAGACGAGGCGCCACTCGCGACGTTTTCACATCTGGTACCGGAGAGCAGGCTGCTCGAGGTCTACGTCCAAGCCAGTGACCAGAATCGACGGAGTCGTGGAGGGCGCGACAACGGTGACGGCAGCAACGAGACCAGTGAAGGCAACAGCAGCTGGCCGGATACCACAGTCTTGCCCTACCGGCCCAGTCTGACTTTTATTAACAACATGTCCGGAAGCGAGGCAGCAGAGGAGTTCGCCAAACACCACCTGTTTCCCTTCTTGCATCACGACCTGCAGGATCTTGCCGACATGGTGGGCACGGTGCCTGACTTCCCGCGCCAGGGCATCGAGTTCCGCCACGTGCTCGGCATCGCAGAGGAGTACGGCGGGCTGACCCTCTGCACTTCCTTACTGCAATCACACTTCGTCGGCGGCTGGGCCACGGTCAACTCGATCGCTTCCTGCGAGACCGGCGGCCTTATCTTCGCGTCGGCGCTGGCACTACAGGTCAAGGTGCCCCTGTTGCCGATCCGCAAAGCTGGCAAGCTGCCTCCGCCCACAGTCTCCGTCGCCAAGAAGCCCTCGTATGTCTCTTCTGCGGCATCCGAGGACGCGCGAGAGGAGCGCATCGAGCTGGAGCTGGACAAGGTCCCCGAGGGCCCGGGGGCGAGAGTGGTTGTGGTGGATGACGTGCTCTCCAAGGGTGAGACCCTGTGCGCAGTGCTCGAGCTGTTGGAAAAGGCTGGAGTCCACGCTGAGAACGTCAGCGTCATGGTAGTGGCCGAGTTCCCAGTTCACCGTGGCCGGGAGCTGTTGCGCCAACGTGGGTTTGGCAGAACCAGTGTCCAGAGTCTTTTGGTCTTCGGTGGTGCTTAGGAAGGAAGGAATTAGGCTGCTTCGTACAAGTAGGCGCAGAAATGCGTGGGAGAGCTACTGAGCAAATATTTTCATCTTGTCCTTGTCCGCGTGATTAAGTCCTGTTGGTTGTAGTGCTGTACTGTGCAACGTCATTCGACCTTGTCAACGGTTGTATAGCTATGTCAACATAGATACCTTACTCTGCAATTCAAGGAAGACAGCCAACACACAACGAGTCGTTACTCAACCTGTTCGGACTACACAGTAGAAGGACTTCGCCCTCGTTTTCCATCCCTGGATGCCTTGAAGTCTGCCCAACCTTGTCGCAGCATCTGATTGACAGGTGCTCGACCTCTTTGGAGGTCCCGCATATCGCCCTTCACGATCGCAAGCGCCTGAGGGGCTAGGCGTGTCAGATCCTCCACTCGCGATTCCGACTGAGAGGGTGAGTGTTAGCCGTGTCCGCTGCGTACGAGGCGAAGCGTCAGATTGTGTTGCTCACTAGTGGGTGTGTTCTTTCATGCTCGGGAATTCTCCTGACTATCGCGGACGTTCCAGTCGCCTTCGAGATCGAAGTCTGCTTCGCGCGAGCCTCCGCTGCAGCGAAATCTTGATCCTCTTCCGCCTTTACCGACGCCCAAACCCTTCGAGCCGCGTATGGATTGTAGCCGGCTTCAGTCATTAGGAGCAATCCGATTGCATCCGCTTCTTTTTCCTGCTTGCGGTACGCAGACAGACGCATTGCTTCTCCAATGGCGAAAGGTATCAAGAGAATGCCTCCAACAACGAACTCAATGGCTACCATAGCCGCACAAAGCGACAGGGCTCCAACAATCCCGGCGGGTGTGTATGGAATGCCATAATAATACTCCATAATCTTTCGGCTATGTCTTTCATCGTCGTGTTTGGCGATTACGTGTGCAAGTTCGTGCGCAAGGACGACTGCAAGATCATCTTTGGCCTTGATATGCTTGAGCATTCCACTGTAGATAATCACCATCGACATCTCGTCCGACACTGCTGCGTTGGCCTCTTGACGTGTATGTCAGTTTGCGAGAGTAACATGGATAACAGACTTGTAGGTACAAAACAACTGACCAGGATCCGGGATGATGTAGACCTTCCACTCACGGTCGTCGACCCCAGCGGCGACTGCAATGTCCATAAAAACCTGCCTCACCTTCTCAGACTGTGGCCTGATCAGACTTTGAAACTCCTCAATCTTTGAGAAGACTTGCTCTGAGAGAGGTTCGCTTGAAGATTGCGGCACGCTGTAGTACGCAAAGCGGCGACGACCTGTGACGGGTGTCTTTTCTGAGTGCGTCAACCAGAAATAGGTCGTACCACCCCAAGAGACCACTATTAAGGCTGCGTATAGAGCAGCAATGCCGGCCCAATACGGGCCAATTCCGATCGATGAATGCTTATCGCGGTTGTAACGCTCTCTGGCCAGGGCGGTGAGGGCCTCCGCTCGTTTCGAAGGCCTCGCTGTCTTTCTTGACGCGAAGTATCGACGACCCAACGGACTATGAGTGAGATGTGATCCAGAGCGCATTGTGAAAGCATGGTGGACCAGAACCGCCGGCTGGTGTGCATTCGTTGACACAGCCCCGAGAAGCCTCCAATGATGCGTGATGGTGTAGGGTGGACATCTTGGGATCGCACATTGGTAAAGTATCGACATGTTGTCGATTAGCTCGTCCAGAGTGTGCACAGCAACGAAACGGGGCTGCTTCCCCAGCTAAAAACCGAATTCTGCTCAACAGATGAAGGAGGGACTGCTTGTGAAGAGAGAGGAGAGGTAGAAATCTAGCCCCAAGGCAATGTTGGTGCAACCAAGGCCGGATTTGCTGCGGGGATATTGCTTTTGAATCTTGCTTTGGAAACAGCCACCAGCGGGCCTATTCCGCCCAGTTCACAAGATCATACGCGCGTAGTGTTGCGGGAACACCTATCCACAGCCTTGAATATATGTGGCTCGGACAACTCACTTGTAAGTACTCGTCACAGAAAGTCAACAAACGTTTTGCATCGCAAGGTTGACGAGATCCATCATGTGAAATTGAACCCCTGAATGTGGCAGGAATTGAGGGTGTCCCAAGGGTTAGGGCTAAAGTCTTCGCAGAGCGCCTCCCTGCCGCGCCTGCCTCAGTGGCCCGCGAGCTCGTTGACAGCTTCTTTCCTCTCTTCTTGCGCAGAACCCCTCAGCTCAATGAAAGATCACCATTTGGCATGATCCCTAGGCTCATTACACACCAAACCCGCAATTTGTGACGTAAGCCTCAGTAACCAGCAAGATGGACAGCTTGCCAACAGTTCACATGCTGGCTAGACCGAGAACGCTCCCCGATCCAAGGTTCTAGGAAGTGACTGACATCAAAATCACAGGAAATAAAAGTTGGAGAGAAGAAAATGGTGGTCAAGAGCGTAGATGAATAATAGCCTCATTGCAGCACCTAAGATAAGCCTTTGAGTGATATTGAGAAGAAGCCGTGTCTGAGATGCACGGCGAGCCCTAGCTACAGCTCCCGGGACGGGGACGGGAAATGCTGCACACAAGTGACAGTCGATTGTCACATACCATTAACATTCCTGTATGTGTTGCATCGATTAGATCATGCAAAGCCGGGTCAGCCCTCGGCATCGCTTCGAATAGATTGTCTGTTTGACGAGATAGACCAAAACCCTGCCGTAGCAGCCATGGCAGTCTAGGTGACCACGCAAGCCAGCTGAAAGAAGGGGTTCGTCCGTCCCTCCCATGCTCAACGGCTCAGGTAGTGCCAGCCAGAACATGTCTCAGCACTGGTGCACCGTTCACTGCTGAAGCTGAAAGAAGGGAGCAAGCAGTGTGCCCAAACTGAGCCGAGCCCCCCATCTAGGTCTGCCTTCCTCAGCTCTCGGGGACCTGCAGCAGCCAGCGACAACAGCTGGCGCGCAGAAGGCAAGGGAGGACGACAGACCCGCGACCCACCAGTCAAGACGTTATCTTTCCCCAGGGGACGCGTTGGCATTCATTTAACAATAATAAACCCGCCGCACAGGCTCGGCAGAGGGGCGTCAGAACTTTATCTGGTCTCTTCCTTTATTTTACCTTTTTCCTTTCGCACCCGGAAGCGGGGGCGGATCGAGCAAAGCAAATCGCCCCAGACTTGCGTTCGAGATGGCGCGGCCTGCCTCACCCCACAACATGTCTCCACCGGCCTGGTCCAGGCTCCGCTCCAAGGAGTACACGTACGCACTCGTGGCCGTCCTCGTCGTCCTCGTCTACTTCACCTTTTTCAGGCACGGTGGCGGCATCCACGCGGCGGCTGACTTCCAGCATCTCTTTCCGGCGGGAGACGATGGGTCCGCCTCCGACATCTCACCACCCGCCCTCGTCGATGACACCGGCGGCGTGTCTCCGAACCAGCCGATAGCTGGCAGCACTATTGGCGGGAGCAGCGGCGGCTCCTCCGCGTCCGATGGAAAGCCGCAGCATCAACAACAGCAGCAACAACAGCAGGGCCCGCCCCCACCGGCAGTCGACCGCCCCAAGGCCGTCATCATCGAGAGCAGCATGATCCCGAACCTGATCCCGGTGATGCTGCACTTCGCGACGGTGCTCGGGCCGGCGTGGGGGATGGTGCTCTTCACGCTCAGGGACAACTGGGTGGAGCCGCTGTCGGCCCCCTTCCAGCGGCTGCAGGACGAGGGCCGCGTCGAGGTGCGATTCCTGCCCGAGGGGACCAAGCTGGCCGACTCGGGGTCGGTGTCGCGGTTCCTGACGTCGCCGTGGGTGTGGGAGCAGGTGGTCGACGCGAAGCGGGTGCTGCTGTTCCAGAGCGACAGCATCCTGTGCTCGCGGTCCGAGGAGAGGGTCGAGGACTACTTCAAGTATGACCTCGTCGGCGCCCCGATCGCGGAGCAGTACGGGCAGGGCTTCAACGGCGGGCTGAGCGTGCGCAACCCGCGCGTCTTCCTCAACGTCACGCGCTCCGTCGACTTTGCGACGTCGGGCGCCGAGTTCGAGGACCAGTACTTCTACGCCGAGCTCATGAAGGCCGGCGCGGAGCTGCCCACCGTCGAGGCCGCCATGACTTTTGCCGTCGAGACGATGTACTACGAGACGCCGCTGGGGTACCACCAGCCGCAGAGGTGGCAGGCGGCCAAGATGCCCAACATCGAGGAGTGGTGTCCGGAGGTCAAGATGCTCATCGGGCGGAGGGCGCAGTGAGGACGTGTGGTCTGGTCGGATCAATGTGGGTTTGATATCTCGCGCGCAATATACAACGTCGTTCAAGGATAAAGGGCGATCACGACAGTTCTCCACGCCCCACTGAAGTACTGTAATACGCGGGTTTGAAGTGTAGTGACTCTCCGCAACCCACATACTGACTTAGGCTACTGCACCTGACCTGGTAGTCGAGGCACATCTGTCACCTCGGCGCCACACCGTCCGGAGTGGCGCCTGGGCGTCCAGCGCCCCTGATCAGATATAAGATCAACATGTTCTTGCATCACGGCCCGGCTCTGTGACATCTGCGGGGGTGTGATGTTCGGCGTGCAGACGGACTACGGAGTTCATGGCCCACTGACAACGACCTCCCTTGATACTGGCTTCCGGTGACATCACAGCGTCATGCACGTTCAGATACCGGTGCAATCTGTCAGTCTGTAGGGGCAAACCTCACTCGAGGTCCATCTGCGTGAAACAACCTGTCTGGAAGATAAATGAGTGACGACTGGTTTAAAACATGCCAAATCTCTCTCGCGATCCAAGGGAGGTGGACATCCGTCGTCGCGCCTCAGCTCTGGCCGCTCGCCTGCGTTGATTGGGCCGGGATGTAGAGGATGGGATCGGCGACGAACTGCGACACTTGAGGGTGGGGCTGTAAGAATCCCACAAGGTTGACTGATGGCGACGACGGTAGTATGTGCGTTGTGCACAGGATGCTTTTTTTGCTCCGGCAGTGGCCTGAGTGGCCATGCGGGTGCCGAGTCTGTTCACATACATGAGCAGTCATGAACTCGCCTGGCAGCCCTGGGCCAGGCTTCGTGGAAAAAGAAATGCGGACCCAATCCAGGGTGCGCAAGCGGTTTGGAGCTGGACATCTGGGCATCTGATGTGAAACGATGGGATGCTGTCGACGGCACGATGCCGCCGTCGGGACGCCGGACTTGCACCATTCCACCGGTGAAAAGCCGATCACTTCCGCCTCGCGACTCTGCTCCAGTGGTGGTCAAGGCTAGCTAGCTATACTTTGGACGGTTTGATGGTGGCACAATGATGTTTTCATCCGTAGATGAGTTAGCTGATAGACAGACCTGCAGGGTCAGGGCACTTTGCTGTGGAACTGCTCGATCTTGTCGCTGAGAAAGCACAGAAGTTTGGTAGGGTCGCCCAGGCTGTGCAGCATTACCGGTCGCCAAGGCTCCGAGGCGGCCTAGTTTCCACTGGGTTTCACAGGCACAGGGCGCTGGCAGAAAAGCCTGAGAGCTCCCACGGCCGAGAGTTGGGATGACTTTCGCGATAGATGCACATTCTAGGCTGCTTCGTGCGGATTTTGTTTCGGTGAGACGAGAACATGTTAGTTCATTAGCTGGCTGTGTCAGCTCGCCGGCCGCAAAATGGGTTGCGCTTGTTTGCCAGGTGATGCTGGGCCGATGCTGGTTTGCACGCCGCGTGTTCGGATTGTCTGTCGAGCGTCTGCCTCACGGATTGCCAGGGGGCCAAGGCGCTTACGAACCGTTCCGGCGCAGGCCAAGACCAGGCGCAGGAGCACAGAAGGGCTGGGCGGAGAGCTTGTCTTGACTACCAGTCGACAGCCCCGTGGACGGACAATTGCTTGGCCTGCTTGAGCGACTCAGGGGCCGCGGTAGATTTGGCCTCATGAGTAGTGGTCTGGATCGTCCATCCCCCGCGTGCAATTGTACGGAACCCGGGGATTACAGGAGCGATCTCCGTGCTTGGCCGCGACCACCTGGGCGTCTCGCGGACGGAGGACGATGGCTGGAAGCGACGGCTCGTCATCGTGCGATGGTAGCGAACCGCCTTGGGCTGTCGGAGACGTATAGCCAGGCCGTGTTTCCGGTCCGCAGGAAGCCATCTCACTTGTCAAAAAACCCAAGCAGTACCACAATTGTACAGTAAAAGCACAAGATCTGGCCGAGGTGTGGATGTGTCCTGCCAGCCTGCAAGAGCCCCCCTGTGCCCTGCTCCCCGTATTCCCTAAAGGGGAGTGGATGAGTGGATGAGCAAGGCGAGATAGTGAACATGGCTGACCAGTGTAGCACGGCACAGGAATGCAGCAGCGCGGCAAGGGCGCGGGCAGCAGCACCGTGGCATTGTGGCAGCAAGAACTTTCCAATCTGGGATTGAGGGTTGATTTGCATTGATCTGCGGGATTGGGATGGCGCTTTGATGTGGCAGTGCTGGGCCTGCAACGATCATCGCAGCATCTCAGCCATCCGTTGTCAACCACCCTGGCTGCCCTGGTAGGCCCGGACCATCCAGCCAGCCCAGCTGCCCAGCTAGTAACCCTCGGGCGGTGCTGGCACACGAATCGACTTCGTCTGATACCATCATTGCCGTCACAGCAGCCTGCTCCTGGTGTTTTACACGAGCTGCTGGGAGGGTCAGCGCCCCATCGTTAGGTGGCACACACGGCAGCGGGCAGTGCACCGTATCGTATCGCGTCTCGTCGGATCGCAATCGGATCGCCCTGGCGCAGGTGCTGGTGCGTGTGCTGGTGCGCATACTGTACAAACGCAGACGCAGACATACAGTGCTCCCACGGGCCGTTGGATGGTGAATTGTGGGATCAAGAATGACGACGGTAGTGATTGCGATTGACAGTGCCGGCAGCTAGGTTCTCTACTTGGCAATCTCCATCCCCATCTCCAATCGCCTGGTCGAGGGAAAAGGAGGACGAAATGACAGTTCGGCTGCCAAGCCGAATAAAAGAGGGAAATAAGCGCTGCAGGGGCAGGCACATTGTACGCAGGTGGCGGAGCAGGGGTCTCTCTGCCTTACCAGAAGGACTGCCTGCCTCTTTCCTCGGCCATTCTCCCAGCCCAGCCCAGCCAACCAAGCCAACCTGGAACCCAGCCAGCCAGACCCCACACCCTGCCACTCAGCCCAGTGCAGCACACTAGCTACTGCCGCCTGCAGCCACCAGCCAGAACCGTCGTGCCTGGGGGCTCGTGTCTCGCCCAGTTCGAGTTTCAGGTCCCATCTGCTTTCCTCCCAGACCCCACCTTCTTGGGGGTGGCGGCAGACTACTGCTCCCACCCACTCTCGAGGCAGTCCACTTCGAATTCCCCTGGTAGCCAGTCTGGTCTGGTCTGCATTCATTGATTCTGCATCTTGCATTCTGCCCAGCGCGGTCCCACAAAGGAAAGGGTTTCAACCTCTATATTGTGGATTCCTGCGCTAGCCGACCCCCATACCATAATATCATTAGGCTCCACGCTCCCAAGGCCGCCCTGGGCCCGTTTCTTGGGACTTCCCATCCTCGACTGCCACCCCCCTCCACCACCTGTTTCTTTGTATTCGCGTACCAAATTTAGACTAATTAACATTGTCTCTTCTCCTACTGCCATCCACCCGACCCGTTTGCCCTTCCTTTGAGTTTTGGTCACCATACACATCTACACTACTCCGTACATCGTTCTGTATCAGCGCGACCCGCCTGAAACTCGCCGTATTCTTTGACTTTTAGTTTAGGACTCTTAAACCGGACCATTTAAGCAGCAATCAGCCTTTCGCTACTGGAGAAAGATTTGGGAGAAGGAACCATCACCGCTTGGACTGAGAATCGGAGGGGTGAAAGAAGAAGCAAGCAGAAGCAGGCGCATCCAATTCCAACAGACTTACCGACGTCACCAAAGCACAACACCACCACACATGCGGCCATGGGAGGCAGAAAGGATAGAACCGAGGACATCGAGATGGGGAGCCAGGGGATGTGGAATTCGACGTCATCAGAAGCCAGCAGCAACACCAACGACCCAAAACGAAAAAAGGGCAAGACAGAGGCCGACAACACCAGGCCGGAGGACCTCGAGCCGAACTACCAGCCTATAAACTGGAAAAGGGTCTTCTTCGCGCCCAAGTACATCCCCATGTGGATCATCCTGATAATTGTCGGCATCCTCACCGCCATCATAACACTCAAGCACGACGAGGTCGTCGACGCACTGCGGCCCTTTGCCGAGAAGGTCCGCAACATTCCCGCCGGCTGGCTCATCTTCGTTGCCATCCTGTTCATCATCTCGTTCCCGCCCTTGTTCGGCCACGAGGTCGTCGCGCTGCTGGCCGGTGTTGTGTACGGACTGTGGATAGGGTTTGCCGTCGTCTCGGCGGGGACATTTATTGGCGAGAGTGAGTCTATCTATCCTGTCGCGCGCCGGACATTTTCCTGTCTGGGGGGGGGGGGGCGAATATGGTAACTAACGATCTTGCGCAGTCGGAACATGGTTCGCCTTCAAGAAGTTCCTGCGAAGGAAGGCTGAGAAGATGGAGCGGACGAATCTCACGTACGGCGCCATGGCGAGGTTATGCCGTGATGGCGGATTCTGGGTACGATAATCCACCCCTTTGCAAGTCAAATGATCTTCCAACTTGACTAACATGACATCCAGATCGTCTTCGTAATCCGCTTCTCCATCATCCCCTCCCATTTGTCCACGGCCGTCTTCTCAACCTGCGACGTCAAGTTCTGGCACTTCGCCGTCTCGACCTTCCTGACCCTGCCCAAGCAGCTCATCCTGGTCTACCTCGGCGTGCTCCTGGTGGAGGAGCAGGACGGCGCGACGGTCAAGAACGCCCTGTTCGCCGTCGCTGGTGTCGTCACGGTGCTGGCGGGCGTGTGGATCTGGTTCAAGATGGCCAAATACAAGAAGCAGCTGCTCGCTGAGCAGGCAGAGAGGCAGGCCAACAAGGAGGCCCAGCGCCTGGGCCTGACGAGGAACGACAGCGGCTACGCCACGGGCGGCACCGCCACGAACGGCAACCACGACCCCATGCCCACGACCGGCGTCGACGCCGGAGTCGTCTACCACTCGTACCCCTCGACGCAGTCCTTCAGCGTACCACAGCCACCACAAACCCCACAAAACTACGCGCCATACCGGCCCGAGCCCAACCGGACGTACAGCGGGGCGCAAACACCCGGCGGCGGCCCACACGGGCCGTACAACCACTACGACCAGGACACATACTACCACAGCGCCGACAACTCGGGCGATGTCGGCATGGCCCTCAGTCATTCCGACTCGTACGGCCCGCCGGGCTACACATCACCACCGTCGTACCCACTGCGGCAGGTCGACAGCCTTGGAGACGGCCGGCCGGCACAGGGCAAGGACTTCATCTAATGTACACCTTTTTTTTTTCTTGCGATCTAAAGATGGCCTGACGTGGTAGTCTGTCTGGTCATCGTTGTATAGGCGGGCGTCTTTGAAGTTTTCATTCTTTTCTCTGATTTTACCTGCATCTGGCGTTGCAATTTTGGATGAAAGAGGCCTAGACAAACGTTCTGGCTTGGGATTATTTATGACATGGCTTACGACTTTGGGAGAAATGGCGTTTTGCCCAGAAGGCGGGACTGAATAAGGACCATTATACTATATGCCGTGGTCATGGGAATGTGTTGGGGCTGGGAAACTATTTCATGGCTTTACGGAGGACTCACCCTGGCCCAAGGGGATGGATACATTCGCGGCCACCGAGCCTGCTGGCACAAAATAAAGAATTGTCAAGCCCGATTTGGGCGGCTGCTCCCATCAATTATCACAATGCAGTTGTTGGTACCTGGTGACTTGTTTGCTGTACAGGGCATCACAAGGGGGTTTATGACCCTCCCCTGCTGCTGTCCAGATGTCCTCTTATCTGCAAAATTAATTTCCTGGACGCCTTGCTGGGCCGTTCTGCTGGGTATCTCCTCTGCATGTGCCACTTGAAACACACAAATGCCCGTGTGGTGGTATCCCCCTCTTTGTACATATTCAAAGCTGAAATCAATAGGTTTCCACCATCTTCAACTCAGTTCCTCTCTCTAGCCTCCCCCAAGCCTCCAATACCCTTTTGTGGGCAATGCAACTCGATCAAGTTGCCATGGGCATCAGGTCCATACCTGCATGCTTGCTCCACACCAGCCTGCTTTCGTGCATTTAGAAGCCCCTGCGGCGAAGCAGATCTTCTATATCGCCAACCCTGTTAGTCAGGTTCTTCTCCATGTCGTCGGCGAGACCCATGAGGCGCACATCTTGGTGCATCGACCACGTCTCGTTGTCGCTCAGGTACATGCGATACGACTCGCTGAACACCTGCAGGCCGACGAAGCACAGCATGCCGGGCACGGACGCCCTCCCGGCTCTTCTGAACAGCTGGCTGAGCATTTTGCCCCTGTTGCCTGTGTTGCCCAAGCCAAATCGTCCTGCAGTGCCCGTGTGCTGCTGGGGAGTCGAAAAGTGCGTGATGTGGCCGTCCGCGCCGACGGTACCTGTGCCTAGTCCAGTTCCCATTGCGGGGTGTGCACCAGCAGCGGCTGCTGCTGCTTCCTCAGCCGCCTTCCTGACAGTCTCCTTTGCCCCGCTCTTGGACCAGCTGCGCGCCATGAGCCACGAGCCCAGGCCCATCGCGATTGGGCGGTCGTAGCTTGCGGCTGCGGAGGAGCGCGCAACAGGCTCGAGCACCGCGTCGCGCTCATCGTCGGTCAGCTTGCGGCCGACCGCGCGTGTGTAGAAGACGTAGGTCGAGATGCACTCGTTGCGGAACTCGGCGTCGGAGTAGCCCCACAGCCAGGCGAGGACGGGCAGGCTGGCGTACTTGTGCCAGGGGATCGTGGAGAGGTAGGAGGTGTTTCTCTTGATCCAGTTGTCGAGGGCAAGGTCTTCGGCCGGGGTGGGCTGGTCAAGGCTCTTGGGGAGTGGAGGGGGAGGGTCGGAAGAGGAGGACTGGCCGTCTTTGGAGGACCCCATTGTCGGTGCAACAGTCGCGGTGGTAATTTGGGAATCGGTCAGGGCACCGACTTTGACGAGGTCGGAGGGGATGTCGTCAGGCTTTCCGTCGGCCATTCTGGAGTTCAATCGGTGAGCACGAGGTCAGTAATATTGAGCAGTGAGGAAGACAAACCCAGACTCTTAGGAATAAGTTGCCCTGCTCCCAGTCAACAAGTGTGACTCTAGTGAGGATGGTTGGCTGCCCAGACTGAGGGAATGACGTCGGGGCTTGAGAGTTGTCGGTCATCCTGCAGCTGAATGGCAAAGGATTTCGAGGCCACGGCGGTACCCCAATGGCTCCCCTGGATGTGAGCAGGGGTTCCTTGCTGCTTGTGATGGCGCTAGTACTAGCGCCATCAGGGTCCTCGTCTCTGCAGGGCTGCAAGCAGCACACCCAGACCAGAGGATGGATGTGTGCAGTGGTGGACTTGTCCATCGTAGCCACTGACCCTTGTCCCAAGAAACTCAAGCCCCGTGCCTGCGTCCCCAAGACCTGCAAGAAAACTAATAGCTATGTCAAATCCATGAAGCTTGTCGGGGATGTAGTTGGGAACCACCATTGAACAACACCCCGGATGTTGGGTCCAGGGAAGAGGCAGGGTAACATTTGTCTCAAATTCTCAGGCACATGTAGAAACATATCTACGACAGTATGCAAGGTGTTTATCAGACCCAAGCTTGGCAAACTATGTGCTGACCTATCTGAGGTCTAGAAGTATCAACATACCTTGGAGTAACGAGGCTGTGAATGATTAACCTTTTCAGCATCATCTATGGATGGTGTCTGGAATATCCGTGGCCATGGTCCCTTGTCTGCTTGCAAGGCACCAGATGATTGTATTCACCCAAGAATTTTTCCAACTCTAGGCTAAGTATAGTGCTGACAAAGTTAATGAGTAAGAGTTGCCTGGGAACATGTTAAGAAGCAAAGCCACTCGGAGTGCATACAGTGCAGATCGAGTCCGTGAACTCCGGCCCCTCGGCTCCGATATGGGTTGCAGCCAACGCAAACAGCGTTCAACTTATTGAGCTTATTGTGACTAACGATGTCGCCCATTTCCCAGGTCTCATTGAGAGGCAAATCATCAAATTCAAATGTCCACCTGCTGCCTCCTCCACCTGTAAAATTTATTCACAGCTAGACTTCACATGCCGGTGGACTACCCTGCCTCTGTTCCAGACCCCTGTTCATGGGAGGGAGGGCTTGTGCTACGGAACCACAGCATTTTATCGATAGCAGCGGGCGGGATGATGAATTCCGCCCTCCCCTGTAAAGACCATGTGATGATTTTTCCAGAGATGGTTAGCGATCCCACTCTTTAATCTTGGCATTTCAAAGCCCCATAGCTACTTTAAAAAAACACATCTCGCTTCTTTTAAGGAATATAAAGAGTACCGGGTTAAGCCTTAAGTAGTACTCGGCAGTGCCTATCGGCATCATCCATCCTTGCCCTAGCCGGCCCTTTCTTAATTTATAATTATAAGCCCTGGGAGAGTAAATTAAATTGGGAGTCTTTAAGAGGTTTTTAAGATGTTATTTCAAGGCGGGGGGATTAGTGGAGGCGCTAACCAACTCTAGAAAAATCATCACATCGTCTTTACAGGGGAGGGCGGAATTCATCATCCCGAGCAGCGGGGATACCAGGGTTCCACATCAACGGCATTTAAATTCTGGTCCCCCTTTTCATCACACCAACACCTGTTTAGTTACAGCTTGCTCACCATCATCATTTACAGGTATCCCGTCTCGCTCCTGAAACACGTGCAGTCCTGTTCGTCGAGGGACTGAGCTCTTCCATCTCACTGACTCTTGCTATTGGGCCGTCTTACTTTGCCCTAACTGTTGTGACTGCTCAGCAGCACACTGCTGTGTCCTGCACATGTAGGCACAGGAGCAGGTGTTTGTTTCTCTGTGGCACGAGCCACCACCTCAAGTATCGGCCCACATGCTGGTACCCTCCGTTCGCATCAGCAAACTAAATCAAGGCAAACAACCCATCTAACAGCCGGGTTCTCCCTCACGTTGTCACACATGGCCCATCCAGCTGCGGCGGCGGCCGCAGCCAAGAGACAGCCCATGTTTCTCCCTGGCTTTGATCGCCAGACACAACTTGCAATGGAATTTGCAACCCTCCAATTCAGCAGTGCCTGGCTTAGAAGAACCTTCACAAATGAACATGATCCGCCTGTTCAGGTGCGTTTGGCAGCCTACGAGCACAATGCCCGCGAACGCAAGCTGGCCGAGGTCCGGTACGGAAATAACATCACCCTGCTCCTCAAGGCTTGTTACTTTCTGAGAGACTTCCATGGTTCTGCCATGTTCTGGCTTGCCATCTCTCGTGTCTTTGGCGTGGGGCACGATGTCACCAAATCTGTAGTCGACGTCTTTGTCGTGGCCCGTGCCATCTATCGCAGCAACTTTCCCACCGCCCACGACACTGCCCCGTTGTTGACTGAGACTACGCAGTGGGCAGATAAATGGACCTCATTTCTCAGCGAGCAGAAACAACCAACGCCGGCATCGGACAGCGGAGTCTTCGCGGCAGTTGATGACTTCTTCCGGAAAGAAAAGGGGAGAAATGGGGATCTTGCAAGCGTTCTCTCAAAAGGGCCAGCCATGGACCCTCCATCAGCTCCTCGTGCTCTTCGAAAGCGCTCGCCATCGCCGAGTACTTCGCAAGGGACGCCGAATGCAAAGAGAAGGGCAGTTTCGAGGAGCACAGACGAGCCGGGATATGACTCCCCGCCTGGAAGAACTCGAAGTCAATGTTTGGCTGTTGGATCTCAGCCTTCGAGCCACCATAAACCAGAGCCTCATGAGACGACGCTTAGCACCAATGGCCGCCAGTATCAAAATGATCAAGTCCTCCGGACAGGTCAGGAAGAGCCCTACTTCGAGTTGAAAATCCGTGGTCAAGCTCAAAAGGACAATCGCAACTCACCCGGTCACCAAGACCACCACTGGTCCGAAGCGGACGAGTACGAGGCGCTTGCACAGTCCAATATCGAGCTTCAGGACCGTGTGGACTCTTTTGAAAAGGAGAGACTGGAGGCCGCGAGGGCTCAAAAGGACAGGGACGATGCCATCAGATCCCTCCAGGCCAGGTTCGCAACTTTCGAGAAGATCTCTGCAGCGGCGGACGCCCAGTCATCAGTCAACGACAAGCTCATCCGAGAGATGCAAGAGATGGTTAAAAGGTTCGGCACCCAAGCCGAAAGGCTGAAGCAGTTGGAGAAACAGCTTGAACTCAGCGATCAGGCTGCGCAGAGAATGCAAGCCACCATCTCCTCGCTACAGAAGAACGGAGCAATACAGGCACGGCCGGCCAATGATCAGGCGGGAGTCGCGACTGCTGAGACCAAAACAGCAGATGAGGGAGCGCCAGCAGCCCTTAAGGAAGAGGTCTCAGAGATGCATATCAGAATAAAGTCTCTTGAAGCTAAGAGTATCTTCTTCAACGACCTTCACAAAAACGTCCGAGAGATGAAGGCAGATATTGCGGCTCAGAAAGTCAAAACGGCCGCTTCAGTAACTGATTGCGCCAAGGGGCAAAATGAACAAGTCACATCTACGAGGCTGAGAGCTATCGAGGAAGCAATGGAGAGGCAAGGTCAAGCGGTCCACGGTATGACCGATAGAGTGGTAGCTCTCGAAGTTCAGGCTACTGTACGCAATGCTAGGATTTCGTCCCTCGAGGATCGGCTTGATAAAGCCGACGACATATCTCAATTCGAGTTAAGGGTGTCTACGGTGGAGCAAAAACAGATCAACGACCTCAAGATGCTTGATTGCAGACTCACCGCGATGCAAGGCAGGTCTGCGGAAATACAAGACAAGGTCGAAGAGCTTTCAAAAGGGCTTGGCGATGTGGGCAGTCTGCCTTTCATCAAGGCCATCTCTGATGGTGTTGCCGAGATGCAGACCAGAATCGCAAATACCGAAGAACACGGAACTGAAGTATCGAAGCGCCTTGATGACATGGAGGTGTCCCAAGATGCTCTCACGTTGCACGACCAGTCGTCCCGCATCGATGAAGTGTCTCAGTCTCTCGAATCGTTGAAGAGCCTGCTCCTCGGCCTGGCAAGAAGCGATGACGTGGAAGCCCTGAGAGCCGAGTTCAACTCCTTGTCCCAGCAGCAAGCCGTCGCAAGCCAATCAATGGGCCGAGGCGAAGACGCCCTCGCTTCTGTCACAGGCATGATTGACAGCCTGTCCAACAGGATGACAAGGCTCGATGATATGTACGAGATGTTTGCGACCGAGCGCCGCAACAGGCCCGATCAGCTGTTTCACACGAACGGGAACACCGTACAAGACGGCAAACAAAACGATGTTTCGGCTGTCATTGACTCATTGTGTCACCGGGTCAGCGTCATGGAAAACGGCTTTCAGATCATGAGAGATGCCTTGTCCGGCCGCCGACGTTGAACTTTGGAGTTTATGGCAAACATTTACGATCAAATTGGGATTGCGCTGTCGAATTTCGGACCCCAGCAGGGCCCCAGAAGGGCCCCAGAAGGGCCAGATCACATCCCAGCTCAGCAGCCTGGATAAACACACGAGCCTGTGGCGGGCAAGTCCTTTTGCCGGACTCGACACAGATCTTGTCTGGGACTCAATGTACCACAAGCGGGCGGGAATGACAGTACACACCAGTCCTCCATTCGCGCGTACTGTCCAGAAGGCCGATCGAAAACACATGCCACCGTTCCAGCATCCCATGGATGCAGGATCTGCGGCTCCAGATCTGAGATCTGATTTCTGTGGGAAAAGCCCCTGTCTTGTCGAAGCAGCACTTTCTGGAGCCTGAAAAAAAAAAAAGGTTGCGAGGTCTGGCGAAGCTCAAGCTTGATGGTGTACGAGCCTGGCTGCACGTGTGACCGCCATCATTCTGCGACTTTAGAAGCTCTTTCATGATCAGCGTTTTCGCAGCTTCCGGCGCGACGCCGACACTACAAAAATGTATCAATGACTAATGATTAGGAACCGATAACGTAGATGTCTGTGTCAACAAGAGAGCGCCCGACCACAAGGCCCTACGGATTTAGGTGCACTTGTTGTAGTTGGTTACCAAGAGGTGAAGAGACCGAGGACTTGTGGCACGGCCTCGTCTGAATAGCCCAAAGTGAAAACCCCTGGCCCTCCTTCTCAGCAGCTAGAGTGTAAGGTGGCACCTTTGTCAGCGGCTCCTGGCGGGTAGCGGCTGCTTAGCTCGTGACCGAGTGCACTTGAATCCTCCCCTTTAAGCAGCCCCAAGCACCCGATGCGCCGAATCCTCCGAATCTCCCGAATTCTCCCAGTTCCACAAAGGCTGTCTGGCGCTTATTACGCCGGCCTCGTGGGTCAGGATCTAGAGCCGGATAGATTGCGGGCAAGTTTGATCCCGTCTGCAAGTAAGCAGAACTGTAGACACATGCTCGTGTTGGATGTCCAACTATATAAGCCAAGACACTTCCTATGGTTATAGACATATTCTGGCCTCTGTGCTCTATCATCTTCAAATCCCCTTCCTTCACTAGGACACTGCACAACACATATTAGAATTCGAAACCAATCCGCATAATAACTACACATAATGTCTCCAACGCAACCAAAGATAGCAATCATCGGTGGAGGTCCCGCTGGACTTACCCTCGGTGCCTTGCTGCACCAGCGCAACATCCCTTTCACTATTTACGAACTTCGGCCGCGTCCAACAGAGGAAGAGCTCGCTGAGCCATCAGGGATGCTCGACCTGCATGAGGAATCAGGTCTCGCAGCTATCCGCGCATGCGGACTTTACGAGAAATTCCTGCCTCTCACAGGAGACTGCGAGGAGTCGATGATAGTTGCAGACAAGCATGGCAACATCTTACACTCGGACGACGGCGGAGCAGCCGATCGGCCGGAGATCTCCAGGCACAACATTATGAAGCTGTTCCTGTCCAAGATCCCAGAGAACTCGATCAAGTACGGCACCAAACTAGTCTCGGCAGAGCGGGATCCCACGACCGGAGAAGTGACTCTGAGGCTCAGCCCGTCGTCAGACGCCGGCACCACTGTATCTGAGACCTATGACCTCGTCATCGGGGCAGACGGAGCGTGGTCCAAGATCCGACCCATTCTCAGCGACGTGAAACCACAGTCGAGCGGGCTGCAGTACGTCACCCTGCTCGTCAGGGACATCACGACGCGCTACCCGCACCTGGCATCCCTGGTGGGTAAGGGCTCCTTCCTAGCTCTCGGCAACAAGCACGGCCTGGACAGTCACCGCGCAGCACAGGGCTCAGCGCAGATCTACGTGATGACGAACGCGCTCGGCGGCGACGAGGGTGCAATGACCGAGTCGCTCTCGCGGCTCTCCGCCCCGGAGCTGAAAGCACACTTGCTCAGCGACGAAAGCAGCTACGGGGACTGGGACCCGGTGCTGAAAGAGCTCATCGCGGCAGCCTTCGACGAGCACGAGTCTGAGGCTCCCATCCAGGTCAAGCCCCTGTCCATGCTGCCGGTCGGCCACAGGTGGGAGGCCAAGCCCGGCGCCACGCTCATCGGGGACGCGGCGCACCTGATGACGCCGTTCGCGGGCGAGGGCGTCAACCTGGCCATGTGGGACGCGCTAGACCTCGCCGCGGCTGTGTCTCAGGCGTGGGCTGCGCGCGGGGAGGACGGGCGGGAGTTCGGGCCCGCTCTGGCCCCGCTGCTGAGGGAGTTCGAGGAGGGCATGTTTGCGCGCGCGCAGGAGAAGGCCGAGGAGTCGTGGCGGAACCGCGAGATGATGTTTGCCGAGGACGGGGCGCAGGCGCTGGCGGATCTGATGAAGAGCTTCTTTGGGGCTGGGCCGCCTCAGTGAGTGCCTTGGGGTTCTATCGTACATATGGCGACCTTAGAGCTGCGTTGATAGCAGTCAGGATGGTGTGGATGGTGGTTGCGCTGGCTTTCTGAACACTTCTCTCAAAAGAATTAATAGATAGAATTAATGAAGCAGACTCGCTTCTCATTAGTCCCTTCTTGATGTGACGTCGGACATACCACTCTGCATTTCTCATGAAACACCTGTATGACAACAGTTGAGAATTCGTTCTAGTTCCCTGCGTCAGATGCCTGCGAAGACCATCCTAGCCCTCTTTGATTTTGCAAATAATTGACAAGTACAGACTGTTACAAGTCGCGCCCATCTTCGGCGCAAGATGCGTGTATTCAGGTGTTATGTAGGATGCGGAACCATCCAGGTGGTAGTGTGCTTGCCGTGTTTCGATATTTATCGTAATAATGTTGCCATCTACGTGGAACAGATGGCTGTTGCTATTTACTATTTCTGAAACCTTTGAGCTGTCTGGAAAGGCCTTCAAAGTCATTGGTGGCAACCAGGTATCTACAGCTTGGAAGCGCTTGCGCCATTTCCTCTTTCGGCTTTCACGTATGTGTCGATGAGCTTGGCAATTTCCAGGCACTCCTCGTCACGCATCGTCGTGGTGATAACCTGGATGGACGTGGGGGCACCCTCCAGATTTGCCGGTTTGTCTATCCCCTTGTTAAAAATAGGGTACATAACGAAGGGATGGTCACTGAAATCACTTACACGGTGGCACGGTCTGACCTGGGTGCTTTACGAGGCTTTCCGCTGGACTTGGGTTCTCGACCCGGCCGACGGGAATTACACACGCAGGGTACTGTCTAGATGTCAGCCACTTGACCTCACACAAGGCTCGGAATTCGATGGCACTTACATCAAGAAAGCTGAAGAGACAAGTGTACGGAGCTAGCGCATACATGTCATGCTCGACTGCCGTTGTCTGCGCGCCGGGGCCTATCACGGCATCGAGTCCGCGGGCCACCCACGTCTTCTTCCAGAGATCTTGGATCTCGTACCTCTTAATATTGAGAATCGAGAGTCTCTCCAATCCATCTTTGATACCCCTGGTGTCGGGCAAGAAATCCCGGTCGAACTTGACTTCTTTCATGGCGTCCCGGATGAAGACCAAGGACGGAACAAGGGGCTCGCCCCCCTTAACGAGTATCTCAGCCGATGTCTTATCGAGACCGAACAGTTGAGTGGCCACGTCGTAGCTTGCTGCAGTAAGGCACTCTTGAGCGGTCAGCGATACGATCTCGTGCCCCTGTGCCCGAAGTAGATCTGCCGTGTCAGATACGGCCTTCTTGACTGGGGGATGCCAAGGCAGCAAAGGATCCTCGGCAAGGACGCCAAACCGGAGCTTTGCCTTTGGGGGGCCGACGGTCCTCCAGGGCACGTCCGCCACGGTGTAATCCAGCAGTGCCGGCCTGGAGTTGATCACCGACTTCAGGAATATCTCCAGGGCGCCTATGTCGTTTGCCAAAGGTCCAGCGGAGGGGAGAATAGTCCGCAGGCCCGGGTTGGCGATCGGGGCTTGTTTCCCGTATGGAGTTCTGCATGTAGTCGGTCGAAAGCCGTACAATCCGCAGCACAGAGCGGGAATGCGGATTGACCCTGTGCGTGTCAGACTTCTGCTCTCGCTCGTCAAAAGACGGATGACCTACCAGCCACATCAGTGCCTACGCCGAGGGGTGAGCCCCGGAACGCAATCAGAGCACCTTCGCCACCGGTGGACCCTCCTGCAGTGAGGCTGGTGTTCCAAGGGTTGAGAGCTCGGCCAAAGACGTTGTTGTGCGAGTCGGCGGTCTTGAAAAGCGGTCAGTTTAGCGAGAAAATTGGGAAAGAGCAGAAAAAGCTACGTAGTGTGGGAAGAGAGCACGGTACAACATACCATGAGTGTCTGGGGTATATTGGTCTTGCAATACAGAACAGCGCCCAGGTTCAGCAAGGTATCTACCATGTACGAATTCTCTTGGGAGGGGCCATGGTCGAGGTAGGCAATGAATCCAAGAGTTGCGTCAGTACCGCGGACCTGGAAGCTGTCTTTGAGACTAATCGGCAGTCCATGGAGGGGGCCGATGACCTCGCCTTTTGCCCTGAGGGCATCCAGATGTCGAGCCCGCTCTTGGGCTTGTTCGAAGAAGATCTCCGTGAGGCAAGATGTCTGCACATCAACGTCAGCAATCAAGGGCAGAGACTGCAACGTCAAGCGAGGGTCAATCAGACCAGCTGCTGAGCAATTGCTGCCCTCTTGCAAAATGCCACTGTCACCTCGAGCGAGGTAAGTTCCCCGGACCCAAGCGCTTTGAGGAGGCCCTGGACATCATAGGCCTCCGTGATTCTAAGCTCCTTCTCCGTGAGCAAACCTGAGCGGCGGGCGACTCCAAGTTCGATGAGGTTGTTCTTTGACGACTCGAGTGGATGTGAGAGGCTCTGCACGAGCGCCGATGGCAGCTCCCAGGCTTTTGGTATCAGACTCTGGCACCGTGCTCGTTTCTCGGCCCCGCGAGCCTGCCAGCCATTGATACTTGGGTTCGTCATGTTCGGGCGGACTGGAATCGAGCTTCAACAGAAAAAAGAGATGAAAAACGGGCCTACTCCAGGTGAGGTTCGAGATACGTCTTTCCACAGGCGCGTCACTTTAGAAATGGAACGTGGAGATGTTCATTAGTTTACGGTTTGGTTATGCGGGGTGTGAGTCCATGTCGCTTGGGACTACTGCGGAGATACGCTGGACCGCAGCGGTGGACCTCGGCATTTTTCATCCACACGCTCGGCAGCGGTGCGTAAAGAAGTCGCCGGCAAGAGGTGGCGACGCAACAAACCCACAGCGTAGTATGTAGCCTAAGCACATCAGCATGGCAGCATTGGCTCGGATAGTTACAGCACTTGAGAATAGAATGTGGCTATGGGTACAAGTGAAAGGTTGTATGAGTTTTCTACCAGAAGTGTGGGAAGACCATCGCATTCCAAGCCAGCTCGACAAAAAGTCGGTCCCCATATTATCATCAGCTTTGCACTCATTACTGCCCAGGAATAGGACTCAGTGCATCTTATGTAGCTCCAACATCAATGTGTCTCGCCTAGATATTGCTATATCTCAAACCACGATTCACTTACTCTCGATTCTGTCACGTCCCTCGTCATTGCACTGCGGATCATTTTTGTTTTGTACTGCTGCCCTATTCAAGTCTTCAGGTCAACCTCAAGTATTCGGTAAATAAACAGACTTGATTCGTTATTTTCTTTTCATTGAAATGATGTTAGGACAGGTACAATTCGAGCCTTCTTGATTGTGGGTTCCGCCATCGCTCAAACAGCCTTAGCTAGCTATCACAACAGGGGCTTGCTTCCTCGGCCGAACCATTAACTCCGTTGGTCGAAGCAGTTGTCTGCCGCAGATCATCGTACAACACACTCTTGTTGAATGCCTGAGTCGAAGGAGGCATACAGGCTGGCACCCACCTCGGCAGGATTGTACTGGTGCCTCAGCCTGATGACCAGGTCAAGGTGGCGTCGCCGCCCTCCCGTTGAGCTATTGCCAACGCAACATACCTGATCGCGAGAGACACGCGAAGAATAGGCGACATGACGGTATGGTACGGCGTGAAGCATCTACGTATGGGGTTTAGGGCCGCAAGAGGCCTAAGTTGCATTGTATCGACGAGCTAGAGGATTCTGGGGACACTGTGAGGCTTACAGCTAGGGGTTTGACATTGAAGCTTGGTGTGATTGGGCTCTGGACCAGCCGCTACATATTATATGTGAAGGAATCTTTGACTTCAAAGGCCGAAAGATTGCTGCGACTGTCACGTAAATACTGCAAATTTCACCGTGTCCTGAAGTCCACAGAGTGATTCCTAAGGAATTACTTCGTTCTACTTCATTCATCGTTTAATTAGACTACCCAAAACAGATATCTAAACTGCATCCCAAAAGGACAAAATTACTACTACAGCAGCAACTCCGTCGCATTCAGCTATCCCACAACCACTGAAAAAATGAGCTATCCGCTCTCAGAGCAATGTCATAGTCAATGCCGCAGACCTCAAGGGGCCAGGGTGCTGGCACTGTCAGAATCCGAAGTGACAACTCTGACAGCTTCCGCTACGTTGAAAGGGTCGTTCAGGAATTTCGCATTAGCTCTGTGGGCAATAACAATGCGGTCGACCGGGCTGTCTTCCAGAAGCAGAACCTTTTGCTGCACGTCCAATGTTTGTCCTACACGATTCACACGCGCAAGAGCCTGGCTTTCCTGGTTAGGGTCCAGCAGCGGGCTCGTGAGGATGAGCCTGTTTGCGATCTGGAGGTTCAGCGCCTCCGAACCGACCGACGCGGGTGCGATGAACACTCGCGCCGGCCCATCGCGCTTTCGCAGGCTGTTGAAGCGCCTCAGGACATCCGAGCGCTGGCTCTGCTTCAGGTCCCCATGATAAAGGAGGGGCTTGGTGCGGGGGTGGTTACGGGCCAGGATAATGTACAGCATGACAGCCGTGAAGACCGTTGGCGTGATGATCACCATCTTCTTCAGCGCGGGGTCGTCTTGTACATGGGCACTTGACCCAGCCCTCGAGACTTGTGGTCGCGGCGTGCGGTCCCTCTCCATCCGGTCCAGCTCATCCAAGATGTACTGAAGCTTTGGGCTCCGGGGACTCCGGGCAAGCTTTTCAGCGAGGGAACGAAAAGTCTTGTTGGATGTGAGCGACTCGCCTGTCGTGTTTTTCTCCTTCCGGATCATTGTCCTTATGTCCCAGTCCGCAAAGGGTGTATCAGGCGAATCTAGGAGAACCTTGGCAGCAGATGGAAACATCGAGAGAAGGTACAATAGCTGCGTGTTAGGTTTCAACTTCTGAAGAGTGTCGAAATAGGCATCGCGAGGGCCCGCAGTGACCTTGGTAGTCATTACCATTCGCACGGTATGCAGATTGCTCTGTGGGGTTTCTCTCGAGATGTACTGCGGCTGAACCTTCTGAATTCCTGTGATGCGTGACCCCATAAACGTGGTGTCCCAGGCGTCGCGGATAGTTAATTGGCCACCAAAGACCCTGTTGAAGAGCGCCTCGAATATAGTCCTGGGAGTGTTGGTCATCGCAGGCTCAATCGCATCATAAGCTTCCAACAGAGCCCTCGCATCGTCCGCACGGTCGGGGGCTAGGTAGCTTATAGCCGCGATAAGGTCTTTGAGTTGACCCCCGAAAGGCGTTCCGCTCACTAACCATACATCGCCGACCGTTGTTGCTGACGGGGTTGGTAGGATTTGGCGGCTCAAAGCGGCCATCTGCAAAGGCATACTGTCTTTCTGGAGCACTTTATGAGCTTCGTCGATGAACGTAAGCCCAAACGGATGTGCGTAGAGGCCGCCAGGAGGGAATTGACAGTTCTGTGGCGCAGGAGACAAATCTTTGATATCCCAACTATACAGATCTCTAAGCTGGGTGCTATTGTGCGATGTGACCACTATGTAAGTCTCCATAGCCATGGCCAGACGGTTGGAAAGCGGCGCAGGTTGGGCGAACCAGGTTAAATCTTGAGTTCTTGAAATCATGCCGCCAGCACGACCCTCAGGCAGGACCGCGCCCATGCTCCAGTTGTTAACGCTAGAGTTTTTGCCCTTGAGAAATTCGGGGCCCGGTTGGAGCCTCGACGAAAGCGGCGGGCCCGAATACAAAACCTGGACGTTATATGCCATGCGACTGAAGTTAGCCTCTTCGAGTGTCTCAATCCAACCCGGCATGGAAGCACTGGGGACGTGGATGAGAGCAGCCCCACGCTTGAGCCTGGAAATCTGAGTACGCGTGGGCCCGTCCGGTACGCAAAAACAAACACAGTCTGCTGGGCGGTCAGACTGCGTCGGACACTTGAGCCCAACGCCTCGCCTAGCGTTATGGGGAAGGTGGTTAAGTTTCACTGGTCGTACCCCCTTCTTCAACGTCCGTTCGCGTGCCTCGACCTCCTCCCATTCCCGTCTTACTCTTCGTTCATTCTCATGGAGAATCGCCCTGATCGTTACAGCCCCGAGGATCACGAAACTCTTCCCCGAACCCATCTCCGAAGCCAAGATGCCACCCGTCAAGCCCCCTGTCGTATCGTCCTGGAATAAAATTTCCATTGCTCTCGTGAACTGGTGGGGTGTCACTGCGAGGGCTGTGTGCTTGAAGCGGATGGTTCGTCTATTTTCGCGCTGCTTCGGGTCGATATGAGGGAAAAACCTAGCGAAACGCTCAAATTGCTCAGCCTGGTATGCGTCAATGACAGCTTGACGTTGAGGGCTACCGTTTGTCTTGGGCAGCAGACCCGTTAGATAGTCCTCTTGGTCGATCCTAGACGCCAGCTGTGTGAGCACAGTGTTCTGCTGGGGGGCTTCTCTCGGAGATACCAGTTCTTTGACGGTCTCGGGAACGCTTTTGACAGCGACCATGAGCTTGTTGATTGCCCGCTTACCAGTCTCTAATGTTTTGGCCCTTTTCGGCTGGACTGGAGATGGTTCTAGAACCTGATCATGTGGTTGAGTAGCATGCCTACGGCTTATAATATAGTCCGTTGGTTCATAGCCCGTGGGAGTCGCAGGAATGTGCTTGGGTGAAATACCCCCAGCGGCGGTGTACTCATCAACTACCTGATCCCCGAGAAACGGCGGCGAGGTATGTTGGCGGGTGCTCCCCGACGGAACGATGCCTGAGGGCCCATTGAAATCGACGAAGAAGTACAAAATCGAATGATGCAATGGGTCCCTGTGGAACAAATCGTTGTAGTTAATAAAGAGATCAGCAAACTGCCTGTTGGACCCAATGCGCACAGCTGGTGTGTTGAGGTTAGCTGTGGCCCATACGTTGACGGATTGTTGCGTGACATTCAGATCGCTTTGGGAAAGAATTAATCCCACGAAGCTTTCGAAAGTCATAGGCTGTGACAGATCATCGCTATCCATGAGATTCGGTATATCGCCGAAGTGTCTGACCTTATAGTCTTTGTCTTCGGGCAACAAGCCGGGAATGTTGTCCTTACTGATGCAGATCGCATACTTGCAGACCCGTATGTCTGCTGACGATGATATTAATTCACGTTCGGATGGAAGTACAATGGCATCGTTTATGACATCTAGATTGTTGGGTTCCTTGAACACAGGGTTGGTGCTATGAAGGTGTCTTTCCGGTTGGTGAGACATGGTAGCCGCGTTTAGTCTCAAAGAAAGTTGTCGAGTACCCACGCCCTTATCAATTTCGTAGCGCACTTTCTCTGTCCTGCAGAGATAGTAGTTTACGATACTCACCTGAGACTTCCCGGTTGCAATCAATTTCACCAGGAACTCGCTTGCTATGTATGGCTTTGAGGAAGCTTTGGGGTTGTTTGAGTGCTTGGTAGAAGGTTGTGGGAGTGGGTGGTGACGAGAATGTTCGCATTCTGAAGACGGATTCTCATGTCACACTTTATAGATTTCAGATCAGAAGAATTCTCTTTATTCGAAAATCTCCATGGTCGCTATCGAGATCCCCGAGATGCATTCAAAATTGGTCTAGCTCCAGATACTGAGTGAAAACTAAGTTAAACGGCATGGAGTGATCATGTTGGCCTGGATACTGATTGTTATGGGACAATGCGGCTCGTTGGGCGATGAATGCCTTGGACAGGTCGCTATGCGGGAACTAATGAGTTACTTCAAAAGGAAGAAAGAATGTATTGTCCTTCAAATGTGTGGAAAATGCTGCCGCCCTTGAGCTAAAGAAACTATGCTAAGTTGTGGTAGATGTGCGAGTTGAAAGGTTTCAAAGCCGCCAGCCGCTCATGGAAGAGACTTAGCTATTTCGAAGCAAAATAATCATAAGCAGTTCGAGGATTCCGCGCTGCCCTCATTACTTCATCGTGTGGTGGGATTGCCACCTCTGGCCTGGGTATGTGGTTCCTATCTAGAAAGTGAGGATGCAATTGCAAACCTTAGTCAACTTTTGATACCGGCTTGACTCTCTTCATGATATTGGATACAAATAGTATATACTAATAGCACCAGAACCAGCCCTACAGGCAGGCACCCTGCCTTTTCTATCATTAACTCTATCTGTAAGACATATTGTACAATACATTAACTGGAAATAGTGTGTTGTCTTAAGCTAGAAAATGTCTGGCTACAGCTTGAGAGACAGTAGTAATGGGCATCTTCGACCCAAAAGTTGGTATATTCTGTTGTCAAGAAGCCGAAATGTAAAACAGAAAAGAAGTTGGTTTTAGGTACACGTAGAAATTTGAATTTGTTTTTGATCTGATGCAATATCCTCTAATTCCGATCATCATCTCAGGTCCCCTATGAACGAATTAGTCCAGATCCCCATCTCCTAATCCAAAATATACACGTCTACCTTCGACACATGAATTGGAGATATCGGACGATGACAGAATTGATACCGGCTTTGTTGATATCATTTTTTAATACTTGGATTTGCGTCTCCGTTAACCCGTCGCCGTGCTGCTTCAGTGCCCAAAGACCGCATGCCGTTCGAGGGCAATGCGATTGATGTCACTCCCCTATTCCCAGGGCGGATCTGTGCACGTGCTGGCACACATTTGTGTAAGTTGCACTGGACCCATACACCTCGCATTAGATCACTCGAGTGGATTGTTGCATAGACAGATCCTTTGCAAGGCGAGCGGCTCTGGACAGCCGGGATGTCTTGCTTGGGTCAAGCTCACTTGTGATCGCTAGATGTCTGCCTGCATCACTGTCGACATCATGGAAATAAAGGGAAAATGATATCTCTAGGTCATTTCCGCTTACTGAGCTGGGGCAAGCTTGGCGGCGGTGGCTTGCTAAGTGGTAATAAACGAAGTTGATGGCATCCCTGGCTCTCATCTCCCCAATCCTGAGGTATAACGTGCGAATCTTCCGAAATTGGAACCTGCAGGATTTCACAGACGCAACGGATGTCGCCTTGGGTGTAGTATATTCAACCTCGGTGGCCGCTGCTGCATGTATTCCATAGTACACCGGAGATCCGACCTTTCTTTCAAGCACCGTGCTGGGTCTTTGTCCTTCCGGACAGGCCCAGAAATTGTGAGTTGAGATCGGCTTGACTCAACTCATCAGGGAAGAACAAGGAAACGCTGGCGAATGGCTGTGATTGTCTTGGCAACATGCTCATTCCGTGTCGACGTGTCATGCCGTTTCTATTCTGAATTATTGCTGAGCCCCAAAATTTCGGGAAAGCCCATCGTTTTCATGCGTCAAGATCCGCTTAAGTTGGTTCGTCGTGACAAACTGAAACTATGTCGGACTGGTCTCTACGGCTAGACGAACTGCCCTTGGCTTGCGCTCGCATTTCAATGCTAGTTGAAATTTGGAGATTTGTCCTAGAAGCCCCTCAGTGGACCTGCATCATCTTAGAATAGCCAGCGCTAGCATCCTAGAACTTATGCACGTCGTCCACACGTGAAATGGCCAGGCGGCGTCTACGTGCTGCGTGCCGTGGGGATTTCAACTAACGCCGAATTCATTATCTCAGTAAACAAGGGCCCGCCAGCCATCACTGTCATCCTCTTCTTGTGCCGGCTCACTGTCCTGACGCCGGTCCTTGTCTGCTGGGTATCCGCTGCAGAGGTCTAATCCCTGAGCACTTGTGTCACCAATATGATTCTAGCTGCGTTGAGCAACTACGCTTTCAACATTTCCCTCGGCATGTTCACACCTCGTGCATGTACCTTTACTAACATAAGTTGTAAGTGTCTCCCCTCTCCCCCTCAACCTGGCTACCTTACCATGGCACGTTCACAAGAAGTCACCCCGTTCTTATTTCTTGCAGAAACTTGACCACACTCCGAAAGACACTGTCCATTATATTTGGTGTGCTGTATTTTACTGCCTCAGTATGTTTCTGGTTCTTTTACCAGGGACATGCGTCAGGACGCTGGAGGAGATCGATATCATAATCCTCAACCAACGGATCTCGGTCCTGGCAGAACAAGAAAGGTGAATCGCGACTGGTTGTCGAAATCGGGGCTGGCCCTGAGGAAGGCCGGCGACCACCACGAGGAGGTGGTGGAGAACATGACCACAGGTGAGAAAGTGTGAGAGACTTGAATCTCTTTTTGTGTTGAACGGTGGTTGGTGCACGGAGATCTTCTACTCATGAGTTGTAAGAAGCCATCTTGAATATTCGGATAGGCAGTGGGAGGGGATGGCAGGCTTTGAATACGCATAGCCCTTGCAAGTGCAAGCTCCCTGCATGGGTGTTTGCTGTATGAATATTCAGGCTAATGTCGACGGCTTGACAACAACCATCAGCCCATGCCTCTGTGAAGGCCGCAGACCATGCATTGAGATCACGAAAAATGTGGCTGTAGGTTCGCATCGTGCAGTTGCCCTGTGATCAAGGTGTGGAAGGTATTGTCAAGCGCTTAGAAGCCGTGGAAGGACATCTCGCTATATCTTATGCTAAACCTCAGCACCAACAGGGCCCATTGTTCATGTACTTTTCTGGACCATCCGAATGACCTCCCTCGCTCCCAATGATGCATACCCCTTCGCCCTGGCAGGCAGGCAGCCATGCCTTCCGACCGTGCCGACCAGTAAGCCCACAAGCCTCTAAGCCCCCTCTGAACGCCAAAATTTCCCGCTAAACGCCGCCAGCCACAGCTCAATCTACAGCCACTTACTCCGCCAGCTTGTAGATCTTCTGGATGTCAGCCAGGGCAGCGGCGAAGTCGAACTTGAGATCCTTAAGCAGACCGTCCTTGAAGCCAAAGACCCAGCCGTGGACGATGGGGAAGTGGTTCTTGGCGTAGGACTTCTGGACGGCGGCGGACTTGACGACGTTGCGGCACTGCTCGATGACGTTGAGCTCGACGAGGCGGTCGTAGCGGGCGTCCTCGTCCTTGATGGCGTCCAGCTCGTGCTCGTGCAGCCGGTAGACGTCCCTGATGTTCCTAAGCCAGGGGTTGAGGATGCCGAGGTCCTTGGGGGTCATGGCGGCCTTGACGCCGCCGCAGCCGTAGTGGCCGCAGACGACGATGTGCTTGACCTCGAGGTGCTCGACGGCGTAGTTGAGCACCGAGGCGACGTTGAGGTCGATGTTGCACACCAGGTTGGCGATGTTGCGGTGCACGAAGGCCTCGCCGGGCTCGAGGCCCGTGATCTGCTCGGCGGGGATGCGCGAGTCGCTGCAGCCTATCCACAGGTACTCGGGCTTCTGGCCCGCGCTGAGCTTGGAGAAGAACTCCGGGTCCTGGGCCTTCTTCTCGGCCGCCCACTTGGTGTTGTGCTCGAACACACGGTCGTGCGTCTGCTGCAGGTAGCGGGAGATCTGTTCGTCGGACATGATGCTCCTGAGGTGGCGCTTGGCGGTGGTGTGTGCGACGAGGTTGGGCGAGAAGTTTTGACCGCGGGGCCCGGGGTGAGAGCTGCAGGGGCGTTGTTGAAAGATGCGGCTGAGATTGTGGTTGAGGTTGAGGTTGAGGTTCTGAGCAAGCCCCACTGTGGACGGGGAGGAGGAAGTGGAGCAAGTGCCTGGTCTCGGAAGCTGCGCGAGGTGGGAGCACACACGTCCTCTTATCATTGCAAATGTGCCTTGGCCACGTATCAGGTCCTGCGTCTGTCAAGTCATGTCGGTGAGAAGGGAGAAAACCCGGAGCAAAACAAGGCGTTGAGGCCTGAGAAATCCCTCAGCTTGGCAGACGATCGATGAGTCCTCGGGAAGGCTTATCTTCCCCTGCATCCGGGAGCTTGGAGACGTTCCCGCGCTGGCTTGGAGCTCCTTTCCTCTCCCGTTGGGAAGGCCGGGCGGGAAAATTTGCTGGGCGATCAGCGGAATCTGCCGTTTGGAGGGCCGCATGTCCGGAAGTACCTGCCCGCACAGATCTTGGTTTGGAGCTACACGCGGAGATCTGTTTGCACTAACTGCACGGCGATCGCCTTAGTCTAGCGTGCGTCCCACGGGACATCGTTGGACTACTGCAAAAACCACTACTCGATTCAATCTTTGCAAGTACCTAGGTAGACTGCCTGGCTACTGCTACTCATGGACGCGCCTCTGCTCCACTTCTCAGACTGAGTCACAGCTCCAGTCCCAGCAACCTGTCATGGTGGACCTGAACCAGCTGGTCCTGACCAGCAGCTGGAAATCATTCCATCTCCGCGGTAGATTGCAAGGCTCTCAACTACTCACCAGCAACCAGCAAGCAGCAACCAGCGAGTGAAGGGAACGAAGACCTGTTTGCAAATTACACTATTGTGCCGTATCATATATTCCGAGCAGTAAAGAAATATCCAACGTTTGGTCATTCCGTCGTGTGGATGGGAACGCCTGCTTTGTGAGTTTCACTGGGATGTGCGAGGTCGTGCAAGCTGCATCTGTCGAGCCCTCAGTCTCAGGCATAATTACCATCACAAAATGGCGCCTCGTTTCAGATTCATGAATCCCATTGAGTCGGAATATTCATGATGTGCATGCCACAAATCAGGCCGTTAGATGGCATGTATGACTCTGCAGATGTTCAAAGTGGCTGAAGTGGGCTGAAGCAACGACCGTCGTTGGAAAAGCTCATAATCTCCTTGTTCAGAAGGTCAGTGACGTCTGATATGTACTATCTTCCTTTTCCAGTCGCCAATTGATTCATCGGTCTGCGTGAACAGCTGAAAAAGAGGGGTGACACCCGGCCTGCGAAAACGACGGAGTCAGTCTGCTCGGTCATGCCACCAGAAGATCGTGCAGGAAATATCTTTGGTCCTCGGAAGGTGAAGCTCAAGAGGTATATGTTGGGTTTTTATTGAATTTCGTTCCAAACATCTCACCAGCGCAATCAAGTTCTGGCTGCCAGGCTACTGTCACTCGCTTGCTATGAGCGAGGACTCCTTGCCGCCCAGGTATGGGTCTTTGTTCACGAGGTCAGTCATCAGCCAAACAGAGCCTTTTGGATTGACAGAATTGATGTTTGCCCATGGCAATACCAATTGCAGAGTTGTGATACTGTGCTTCGACAGGTGTTCATCGCGAGGCTTTGACGCCAACCTCAAACAGACGTGGCGGAAGTAAACCGGTCCTGTCAGCGGCACCCAACTCCAAGTCGGGGCATCGTCGCCTTAAACCCTCTCTCGCATGTGCGAGGAGCCTGCAATTCATCTGCGGCGTGAAACAAGAACCACCCATCTCAGACGACCCTCTGCCGGACCTGTCAACCTGCATTTGCCCAATTAGAGGTGACGGAACCCTGTCCGGCCAAGCCCGGTTTGACAGGCACAGCTCCTCTGCTCCATTGCCGGGCTGCTTGCTCCTCTTTTCAGCGCCCCTGTATGACTTCTTGCCTCCCGATCACGATCGATGCCGCCATGCGAATTGTCCAGAAATATAGTCTAATTGTTGTTCCTGCAGTACCTTCGGGTACTAGATCTTTCTTCAAGATCGAACTCATCGTCAGTAAATCTTCACCGCGTACATGTTCGCCACCGATGTCGTGCAGCAAGCACTGCATGATCTCAGGGTCTTGTGGAAGGGCTCATCATACCAAGGCCCAAGCTGACCCGGATTCTTAATCCCGATGTAGGAACACTCGTGGGTGGTCCGTGTTCCGCGACCCGGGTCCCCAGCCAGAACGAGCAACGTCCGAATGGTTTAATCCAGCCCCTCAGCTCTCGATCACAACAGCCAGTCGTCATCTTTCCATGAAATCGGTCTCGTTTTCTGAGCCCCGACCTATCGCTGATCATGGCTTCAAACCATATTACATATGATGCTGCGCCTCGGAAATCTTACATCTCATCAATTTCATTCCTCTGGTCGGCAGTCCTGTCCACACCCCCAGGAAAGTCAATGACCCACCCCTGTTGATGCCTGTTGGGCACTGCCATATAGATCCTTGTTCTGAAGTCGCCCTATGCTGCCCCTCATCCTTGGAACATAGCTTGTGCCATTGAATTGCCGATTTAGACGTTGTATTTCCGGTCCATTTGACCGTTCTTGGCTGCTCCAGCTCGCAGCTGTTTCAATGGGAGAGAGTTTTTCCATAGCTGTTGGTAGGTCTCTCGTACGTATGATAATCATATGGGAAGCAATCATGTATTAATATTCTATCTAAGTTCTAAGAGACTACGTGCCTTAAAGGGGATAACTAAAGTAGCCTTTTAAGTAACAAGGGTTATACTTGCTAATACTCATAGTTTTTCTCTTCTTTTAATAAGTATATATAATCCTTATTATAATTAGCCCCAAAATTATAATTTATTATATATTAAGTATATATAATCTTTATTATAAGAAAGCATTGCTAAAAAAGCTTAAAATTATAACTTATAAATTTTAAAGTAAGTCCTAGCAACCCTCACCATTATATTACCTTTTAAACTTATAACCTTTATTATTATACCATTCCTTAAATATTATATTTATTATTCTTAATACTTAGCTTTTAAAGTTGCTTCTTTATAAAGATTATTAACTTTTATGTAAGGGCCTTAATTCTAAATCTTTTCTTTATAAGGAAAGTTAATGCTTATAAAGTTAATGCTAAACTCTTTAGCTTGCATTTATTTTTATTATATACTTTTATAATATAAATATTATTATTTCTATCCTTACTTTTATTACTAAAATATACTTAATATTACTTTAAATTATTTTCTTTTAGCTACTTTTTATCCTCCTAAAACTAAGCATTATAAGCAATTTAATTATTTATTAAATCCTTTTTTTACTTTTTATTATTCTTTTTAATTTCCTTAATAATTATCTTTTGCTTAAGTTGCTTAGGTAGTAATGCATATTTCTTAATAAGTCCCTTTATATATAAGCCTTATATATGCTTATTAGTAATTTAATATAAAAAGTTTTAAAGCTAAGTTAGCATAATAATTTAATTCTTTAATAGCTAAATCTTTTTAATTTAATATATATAAAAGATACTTAAGATTAAAACTTTTATTAGGTTATTTATTATAAAGATTATAATAATTTAATATTTAAAATAATAATTGCTTTAATAATTTTTATTATTAAGAATGTTATGTAATCTTATATTAAGAGTTTTAATGCTTTTAATATAAATATATAGCTTTTTAATTATATTATTGGAAAATATTTACTTATCTTAATATTAAAAGTTGTTAATAATTTAAATAATAGCTATTATAATAACATTATTTAGGAAAAGTATTTTAATTTAAGCCATAATTATAGCCTTTAGCTTATTAATTTTAATAATTCCGTAAAAGTTAGCCTTAATAAGTAGCTTGCTCTTTTTAATGCTTAGCATAAGAGTAAAGTTAAAGGCAATCTTTATAATTTTTATTAATATTTTATTAACCTAATTTTAATTATCTTTATTATTAATAATAATTAAATTGCCATTAATATTAAGTAAACAAGAGTTATTATTATTAACATCCTTATTAACATCCATTAAATAAGCATTATTAGCAATAACCTTGCCATAAGAACTAATAAGACTAATAAGCTTATCTTTATCCTTATTAATTAAGGCAATTTTAGCCCTTCTTACAACCTTAGTAATAATTTCAATCTTTATCTTATCGCTTAATGGAAATGCAGTTGCAATATTTATTTTATTAATTAAGGTTATAATTATAATATTTATTTTATTAATTAAGGTTGTAATTATAAAGCTTGTTTTATTAATTAGGATTATAATTATAATATTTATAGGGGAATCCTAATTCTGATTAAGAGTTGCAGCAGGGCTACCTTTAATACTAACTATATTAATGGCAGCCATAATAATAATTGTACTAAGTATATCCTTAGCGCGGGAAGTAAATGCAATGTTTGCTAAATAATTTTACTTGCTATTATTATTTTTATAAGGCATATTAATAAAAATATTAAATAACTCTTACAAATTATTATTAATATTCTCCATTATAATAAAAAGAAAAAAGATTTTATAAGAATTTAATAATTAAAATAAATATTTATAATGCAAAACTTTATAATTATTATATAATAATTATTAATTTATTCTTTAATTATAAAAGAAGTTAATAAATTATAAATAAATTTAATAAAAGTTAATTTTAATATTTTATTAATAAATAATAGCGAAAGGTAATAATAATAATAAGGTTAACTTTAAAATAATAATTATTAATAATATTAATAATTATAAGGTTTATTTTATATAAAATAAGGTATTAAGAAGGTTTTAATTAAAATATAAAAGGTTAAAGTTTATATTAAGGGTTTAAGTTTAAAAGGTATAAGGTTTTATAATTAGCAGCGGCAAGGTTAAAAGGAAAAGGGTGCTAGCGGTAAGTTGCTTCTTCCTTAGCAAAAAAAAGCTACTTTAAGTTTCTTAATTAACCTATTTATTT